TTTTTTTATAATTAACATATTTTTCGATTAACCGACGCAAATAAGAAACATATTTTACTAACAAAGAAATTTAAAATTATAGAATCTGTTTTGTTTATGTTTTGAATTTATATATATTATTTCTATTCATTTATATTATTTCTTTTCTTTTTTCTCTATGCCTCTATGTCTTTTTCGTTTATCTAGATAAAACGTGAATCACGTTAAGAGAGAGAGATAACGATTATATACGTCAGCTACCGATAACACATGGTCACAGGATCAATAACGACCGTTATTTTTGTAAACTTTGCAGTTTTAATTGTGACGGTAACATCAACCTTGTTTCATCAACTATGTTTCATAGTAAAGTTATTTTAAAAAAAATAAATTTTCATTATTTTAATGCTTTAAAAAATTGTACCTGATGCTAAAATGCATTATTAATGTGTATTTCAAACCATTTGAATTAATTACTTCAGCTTGTAAACATTTGATTGTATTTTTGACATTAAGCAAATATTGAGAGATGAGACAATTTTACAATTTTATTTCCTCCAATGTTCAAGAAATTAATTGTGTCCGCGCAAGAAATTTAAATTTGCTATCACTTCATACATATATTGATAATATTTTTCTAAATCGTTCGTTTCCCTAAATCTTGCATTTTTAAAATACAATATTTATATTCTTAATATATTACGTACTTTCCAAATTTACAAAATTACAATATGATTTTTTTTATTATTAGTGTATCTCCTTTTCGATTATATTTTTTACAATTTTTTTTACGTGATATCATTATATTATTAATTTAATATTGTAAACTGTCACGTGCATATGCTATACAAATTGTTAAATTAAAATTAAAATTTATATGTGATCGGTTCATTTTACAATCATACATAACTTTTTGAGTTTTAAGCTTTTTTATACATTTTCTTTTATTAACAAAAACAAAGATTCATATGTTTATATTTTATGCAAAATGTTAGATAAAGCCAGAAAAAGCTATTTATCATATAATGCAGTTTATTCGACATTCTACAGTGACAATACATTAATTTTAATGAATGGTAACGACTCTTTCGTCGACTATTGCAGTGCGATATTTACTCTTTGCATTTTTTATGACGTCGATATGGAATTTGTGTCACTTGGGAGCGAATCTATGACCTAGTATGTATGCACAGACGCTAGAAAAATATACATATGACCGATAAACATGTCTCTGTTTCGTGCTTTATAACATCGCAACACGATCGAAGGATTATGATCGAAGGAATAACGTTTCAAATCATGAAAATGCTCTCGTAAAGTAAAATATAGTCCTCGTGTAAAACGATCTGATTTTCAAACTTCGCGAAATCTTAACAAGACCTATGTGTCGAGAAATGGTCGATTAATCAACTTTTTTTTTCCTACGTGGCAAGAGTAAAAGTTTTGATGAAGAACATATCATGATGATATTCGAGCTTTGCAAAGCTATTTAAAGCAATGGGAAGTCATCGGCTCAGCCACCGGAAATGGCTTGCCGTGAATGGTCAGCACAAAATCCTCCTCTTTTTACATCTTTTTTTTTTCTCTACGCGAGCACGGTTTTTACGAGCAATTGTCCATCGGCCTTTTTATTCCGAACTTATAAAAGAGCCCCGCGGCGAACCGAAGATACGCAATGCTTCTGGGATTTGACGGGCAATCTCGTATTACACGTCCCCAGCCAATGAGACACATTTGCATCGTGACAAATGCACCCCCTCCCCCGTGCACTTGCGGGAATCGATTTCATACGGCGCAACTGAGTTAATATCAAATGTAAAATTTTACGTTCCTCCGCGATTTCCCCCGCTGAATACGAATTTGACGTCTATTGTTTCGACGCGATGTAAAACCGCTTGTGAGAACCGCTACCGCACGGATAATTAAAATATATTAGAGGTACAATGTGTCAAAGTTGTAGTACACGTTCCATATTCCTCCCCTTTCGCGTTTCCATAATATGATGGTTACACGCTTGTAATGTTATACGCTCTTATTTGCGTCGCGGTGTATTTTAGATTTTCATCGGAAAATGTGTTGGTTAAAGCTTGTCAGCGACAGGTAGGAGGTAGACTCGAAGAAAGCTGCTCGAGACAGTAGACGGGGGGGCGTTCACCGCCCTTTTTCCTTCTTTTAGGAGGCATAAAGAAAGGAATATCTCGGCATGAGATATCATTGCATGTGCATTTTCTGCATTAGCATCGCGGCGCGTATTTGTATTTTTTTTTTTTAAATCTTCTCTTCCGGAGGAAGAAAGACTTTCGTTCGCTTGGGGGGAGAACTCCCTTGAAAATTGTCTCAATCGTGCGAATTTGAAAAAAACATCCCCCGGTTCCGTTAGATTTTAATATCGTCAAATGCGCTCGTGTCGAACGTGACATAATTGCACAATAAATACGGTCTGACTACCGTGTCGCGAGTGCAATGTTGACTGTGCGATATGCTAATCGGCGAAATAGACTTTGCTATTGTAGGAACACCTGGCACAGTGTCAGCTTACCGCCGTCGAGGTGACGACGAAATGTTTCTATTTCATTGTCGGACGAGGGTGCGCCACAAAGCTATGGAGAGGGGCATTGAACTGACGCATCGCGTGTCCAAAAAGAGTACGCGGTCGCATTATGGTGGCGGCAAAGTTTATCTATTTGATGCTGTAAATGTATTTCCATTAGGAAAATGTTCGATAAAAATTGCGAGGAAGCATATAATTATTATCATTAAAATATATCATGCTGTTAATAAAAAATTGAATATCACTCCCTATGCGTGTGCCGGTTATCTCAATTTATATTATAACATCTCGATTAAAAAGAGTAAATATTCCATGTTAAATTATAGAGAAACTTCGATATTATCAATGTAATGTACAAGTAATGTACAAGTATGTATATTATTTAGAATAATTTAGAATGCAAACTGATATAAAATCTAATAAAAAAATATTAAAATACATAATACATATTATAACGATGTCAATATTTATTTTATTAACTTATTCCATTTCTAGCTAAATTAACTATTTCAAGTGTATAATATTTGTACACTATATATACAATATATTTGTAATTTCATTATAATGATATTCTTAAAAAGCGTTAGTTAAATAAGCATCGAGAAGCTAACATGAGATTTATTTTTAAAATGTAAAACGTTGGTTCTTCAATTCGTCGAAATCTCTAACGATTCGACGTTTTTGTAATTAAAGGAAACGAGTTTGCAACGGGTCGAAGCCATCAAGTTCAAGCAGGTGACACGCCCGAGTCATGAAAACCGCTGAGGTCTCGAACGGTCTCGCGCGATGCCGCGCGATCCTCTCGGGAGGCACTCACCTTGTTTCCATACCAGAATCCACAAGGATGTCACGCTGCGCGCCGTACGCAGGACGATGTTCCGTCGAAGGCGGTGGCGCAGGACGTAACCGCGGCGCTCCTTCAAAGTGTCGTCGACGCTGACGATGCTGTTGGTAGTGATGCTGCGGTTGTTGATGCTGCTGTTGCTGTTGCTGCTGCTGCTGCTGCTGCTGCTGCTGCTGGTGATGATGATGGACGACCGACGGATTAATCTGGATGCGATGGATTGCGCCTGGCACCCGCCAGCAGAGCACATATGGAATCACGAAGTCAGGCTTGACCTGCACCAGCGGCAGCAGGCGATATTCGATCTCGCGCGGATTAAAGGACACCGATCGCCCGCTTGATCCGCGCACCAAAAGACGACCCTCTCCACGGAGGACGTTATAGTTGCGCCAGCCAAGGTCACGGGGTAACATGTCACGAGGACATCCCTGCCATCCACCGAACTACCGGCCCCTTGTGCGTCTCGCCATGGTGTCGAGGATATCTCTCTATCGTTCTTCTCGCACCGACGAGCTTCAGGGCGTGAAACCACGTCTTGTCGGTGTGTCGCTTTCGATCAATCTCGAAAGCGACCGTCCATTGGCACGGAGATAGACGATTATCCTCGATCGCGATGATATATCGTACAATTGGAGAAAGAGACGTTTCCACGAGACGTTTATTAGCGATTACATACGCAGTCGTTTAAATCCAGTCGGCAATCGATAGTCTTCGTGTACTCGCACTGACATTCGAGAGACGAGGCACTGCGTCGGAAACACCGGAAACATCCGCGACGGACGATACGCTGCGAATTTTTCGATTTATTATCTCTCGTTTTTTTTTCTTTTTTCCTTTTTTTCAGATCGTGGATTCGATCAAGGATCCAGCGTATTCGCTCGCGAATAATAATAACGGACGTACCAGACGGGCGAGACCGGACTCGGGAGCGTCATTCTCGAGCGGGAAGCGCGTGTGCTCGCGAGGAAATTCGGGATCACTGGGAGGACCGGGAGGGCGGCGAGACAGACGCCCGGCACTCCCTTCTCGCGCGACAGCACTCCGACCTTAGCATCGACTTCCACGACCGGAGCCGAACGGGCGAGAGCGAACGAACCCAACGAACGAACGGACGTGGAACGAAAGGCGAGAGAGGAACGCAGCCCCCAAGGATCTCCGCGGCGCGCCACGAATTTCAAACTGGGCTGCGCGCGCAATTTACGTGCCTCAGGGCTGTCTCAAAGAAAGCTCGCCGCGAGAGGGTGTCGGCCGCCAGGCGAAAATGTCAGCGGCTGCTGACGGCTTTTGACGGCTTTTGACCCTCGCCACTGAATTTTCTGAACCAGTCACGTCAGGAATGTCAAAATTATCGCGATAAGCTCGTGTCGTCTTCAAAAATATTAGACTACTGACAAAGGGATAATTGTTATTATTAAAAGTAATTGATTTCTTAATTAAGTGTGAGGTATACTTATGCAATTATATGCGATACCTCTTCTATGAACTTTCAACAGTTTTGAAATTACTGTAGTTATTAAGTTAGCTTATAAGATGAATATTATCGAGAGTAAAAAATATTATTGTTTAGTAAAGTTTTGAAACCTTGGATTACATTCGCACAACACAACGCAACGCAATCAATATCAATAAAGCATATCCCACGGCATTTACTATTTATTATTGCGATTACACAATCGAGTATAGATATCGGAAAATCGGATCCGCGGCATGGAACAATGCTCGCGATTTATAGAGAAACGTGATTCGTACCTGACATTAGTAAATAAAAGGTAGCTCTAATGTATCATTCAATGTATTTAAATGTATTTAATTTGATCACAAGCAAATTTTAAATGCTTTATCATCTGAACGATGGAATGATTGACTTACCGTCCGTCTATTAACTCAAGAAACGATAAACGCGTGCAGCAACTAGTAGATGTTAATTTAGCAATATCTAAATGCCAATGTAATCATCGATTCTCAGAAGAGAAGCTTCTAGCAGAAAGCTCATTATATGAAATGCGTACACAGATGAGAGATAGTCTTTTCTCACAGATTCTCCTTTTTCTTTATTGTTTCTTTTTCGGTCACAATAGTGTCATTACCACCATTATTACATCGACATTTAACATCGCACATTTTTTTTGTTTATACATGTTACGGCAACGATTTTCACATAAATGAAATTAATTCAGGACGTCGATATAGCAATTTTCCATTGCTGTTAGAAGATATGAAAGCGATATTAAAAAAGATACAGAAAAAAATATAAATGAGATAGCGCATTCATTCTCCTTCGGAAAAACAGATCGGCTCGTTCAGATATAATTTTATCTTGCTATAAATCTGTATTAAAAAATTGGATTGCAAAAATTTAAATCTTCTTTCATCTTTGACCAATTAATTTTTAAAGGATCGTAAAATCCGAGAGACGGGGGGGAAAAATGTTCCCAAAAATTTTTTGACGTCGTTTTATGAGAAATTTAAAGCTTTAAAAATTTCAGTTTAATTAACAAAACATCAAACGTGAATGTTACAATAATGAGAGATGATGCCTACAGCGACACGCGAAAGGTCAACATTGCTTTCGAGGTATGTACAATATTCGCGAATTTCGCGACGATTTTTCGATCGGCCGTCCGCGATTGCCGTTTAATCGGCATCGGTAGCGCCGCTAATGAGCACGAATCAGCCCATGAAATCTCGATTATACGGTTATGCGTGTCCGCGGTATATATACCGTTAGCCCGATATCTTTCCGCCCGGAATGACACCGCACCTGTACCGGGCGCCGCGTCGTGGCCGAAACACTTGAAAATTCCGCAGGAGGGTCGGGGAGGCTAAACGAATCGCGAAGGTCGTTTGCACCTGCTCTCGCATCGACCCTCATCGCCGCAACTCGCTGCAACTCCCGCAGGTGTGACGGAGGCGCATCAAGGACGCCTCTCGTGGATTAACGAGTTACTTTTGTTCCTGTTTCTTATAACACTCGCCAAGAAAGTACACTCTGTTTTCGTAAGATTTGCGCGATGGAAATTATATATTTATTCGTTCGTTATTTATACTCGTACGATAAATATGTAAATATTAGTGTTAGAGATAATTTTCCTCCCGACGACGAGTTTAATTTTTACAATGTGGCGAGCTAAAGCTTTTAAATGAGAAAAAACGGAAAACGGAGAAGGGAACTGCTCGGCGAACTCGATCTGGATTGGAACTATTTTAATTTTTCTATTTTTTTCATCTTGAAAGAATTTCAAGATAGCATACGAAATATCTTCTCTACATTTGACGTTTACAATTTCAGTGAAATATACGTTCTACGTAATAGTCCTGATTGAACTGAAATGCGTGTATCAAGTTCATACAAGTATCATATCATTATATCACGTACGCCATTAATCAGCTCTCTATAATATTAGAGGTAGTACACCTGGTTTAATTAACCGCTTAATTGATTAATGTATTAATCAAGAATTACATCGGCCATGGAACGATGCGTTGTAATCCTCATCGAGCAATATTTACTTGTTTGTTCATCGATTAATAAATGCTCATATCAACTTGTTCATATCAAATGTCGATGAATACAATTATCATTCGCATACAATGTATTATATTAATCTGTCGTTATACGCTTCTAATAGGATAAATGCGCCATGATCGAATAAAGCGTCATACACAACCATTAATTTTTCGACCTAGCGTTTCCTCGCGGAGAAAGGGTAGAACGCTGAATGAATCTTAAGGACGTCTACTTCTTTAATTTTTCTCTCGCGAGAAACGCGGATCGATTACAAATATACGAGTAAGACTGTTAAGGCCACCGCGTGCCTGTAATTCTGCGAAAAATGGAGAGTAATAAATTCCACGATCGAAAATTTCGATTTACAAATATTCTCCCAAGAATGAATAAAAATATTGCGGCCTGGAAAAGGACTAATTTAATCTGCATCCTTCACGAAAAAAAGACAATAGTAATTATCATCAATCTAAAACGAGGAGGTATTTCAAGTATATTGTATAAAAAAAAAATTCTTCTGCCTGTCTCACTTCGTGAGAATGTGTCAAACGATCGAGATCCGCATTCATTTTTCGATTAAAACGGACATTAAAAAGAAATCTACTTTCAAGGATGACATATGAAATATATATGAAATTTATCTTTATCATCGGTAAATCAATCGATCTTGTTTTCGCAAATCTTTAGCAAAGACAAAAGGCGCTCTCGTATCGGTTCTCATCCGAGAAATATTACAATAGAACTATCGTACTTTCAGAAATAATTAATTAAAAATACTTTCAATACTACAACTTTCATCATACCTGAAACCTTAAGAAATATAAAAAAGATACACAATGCGTTGCCGCATTAAGAAGCTCCACGTTTTACACGTGGGCGATTCCGACAGACGAGAGAATCGATGCGTCACGATTCGGACGCAGGACGGGAGATGCGTCGCGCTGACCTTCGACGGCGATTCGGAAAAATCGATCGGTCGTATCGTTGAGAAGGATCGATCTCGCGAGCCAATCTCCCTTGCGATGAGTCCGATCGCGGTCCGGTCGGGTCGCGGTCCGGCAGAGAGCACATAATTATCGGTTATGGCAGGTAACTAATTGGTAAGAAGATCGCGGCGGTCGATGGCGATCGCCGCGCGATTGCGAGCGCCCTTTCCAATGCCGAGCCGCGCGGGGACGATTTTCAATTATTGCCACGGGAAAATGCACGCGGTCGCGGCAACCGTTTATTACCGAGGCGAGGCGGCGGCGGCGTTTCCCGTGTTCCAAACGTAAATAAATTTCTACCGGTTGCAATCGGTAAATGCGCGGCGGCGTCGTCCGCCGGTGATGAGGCAATAATTATGCGCGCCGATATCGCCGGCTGATAATTTACATCGGGGGTTAATTTGGCAAACCCTCCTTCGGCTCGGATACTTGCGGGTGCGCGATACATACGCATGACCCCCGCGCGTCGAATCTTGATACGGCGGTATCAATCGACGTCTCGCTGTCGGAGCGAATCAATTTTTCAGCCGCTACTAACGTAGTGGAATAGAATTATTGCGCGTAATTTGTCAACAAGAGCGATGCTAACTCCTTCCGTAGCCTTCCTTTTCGCAGACTCGTGTTAGCGAAATTGACACTGATTTGTTTCGCTCTGCTCGTACCGACGAGTGGAATAATAGCACGAATAGAGAGGTAAAAAAAAAAAAATTGATGTTGAGTAAATAAACGTACAGGATATTTAAATAAAATATTAAATTATTCGTAGATTTCC